TAATTTTTCCGGCCCAAAGAAACATTATTCAAGACAAATTTTGAGTAGGTTCAGGTTTAAAGTATGTTTCTTTTTGATGTTGAATTTGCTTTCGCTGTGAAAAGGAAGAGTTACTGTTCTCAGAAGGTAGCGCTGGTGTGGGGCAGAAGGTACTGTGGGGTAAGTGCGAGAGTGGAATGGGCCACGCTGTGAGTTTCGTGCCTGTAGAAGTGGCACATATGGTTTTTCTCCTCCTAAGAATATAGGAAACACCAAACTCTGGGTCAGACCCATGGACTGTCCAATGCAGTGTTTGTTTCTGTCGCTGGTACCCAGGGTTGTTTTGTGACAGAATATGTGTTTCTTCTGTGGTGCCATCCTCTGAAGTGTAGGGATGTGCCAAACATCCTGAGCTCCTCTCATTAGGAACAGAGTCCTTTCATTCAGTGCCATGGGATTGGCATATTGAGCCTGGCAGGTCAGTCTTATGTGAATGGCCAATAACTGGCTGCTTTGTTAATTGCAAAGCATACTTGGCCAAATGATTTCATCCAGAAAGACAGGTCAAATAACTTACGATTTTTTGACCTCCTGATATTTTTGATGTTATTCAGATGAAGTCAGTGAACATGTGTGGGGTGAGCCACGTTATTAGAAGGCATCCAGCCTTTGATTCTGAAAATGGGGAAAGAGTGGAACTGACCATGGTATTTGCTAAGACAGGTTGTCACCTGAAGAAGTGGATTGGTTCTGTTGGCCAGGATGCGATCAGGGGGAAGAGGCGGCTTTGAAGGTCAGGACTGTGGAGGTAATTGTGGACCCAAATGTTCAAATTTACGTGGAACCTACTCGATCTACTTAGCCAGAGCACACTCATTGTATACTCATTTATGCTTATACTCATGAAACTCTTTTTCATGTTGCAGGGTTTTCAGGCTGTTGGCTTGCTGATTAGGCTCACAAGTAAAAGTGAGACCCTTTTGTAGTGCTATTAGGTTACAGGACTAACACTTGCCTTACAGACAGACTAGGGTATATTAAGCTTTGACTATGAATTGTGAAGAACACAATCTGAGGCATGTATTATAATGGGGCGGGAAAAGATACTTTTTAAAAATGCTCTTGTGTTTAGGGTCACTGCATTAGAGGATAATAGTTTTAAATGAAGCCACAGTTCTAACAAGGGACCAGATAACGAGGATAAATGAAATCTGCAGACAGTCTTGAAGCTTCATTTTAGCCATTATTTATAATCTCTTCTTTTACCGAACCTTTTACTATGTTGCAGAATTGATTAATTTATGTGTATCTCTTCTCTTAGCCCACATGCTGTCTGATAGAGGAGTAAAAAAATAGAGAAATAGACAAGAGAGAAAAGAGGATGGGGCCGAGGCCAGGTGGAGTTGAGGATACATAATCCCCAAACTGGATAATCAGCCCCAGAATAATCAAGATATATTTTAGGGTCCTAACACTAATCTTGATATTTAATCATTCTGAACAATGTTAAAAACAAAAGATTGTATAATAGCATTAATAAAAATCATTTGCTATGGAATGGCTCATAATAAATATGGCTTTCTTTTTAGCATGAAATAGGAATCTATCGGGTTGGTCTTAATGTTCTCTCGGCACACACAGCTACAGCTCTGTTTAATTCCATATCCTCTTATCTATAAGTCCTACATTTAATTTACTACCATTCAAGTTGATTTATAGCCTTGCTTAGCAAAAGTACAATCTTGATTAAAAGAATATTATCACAGCTGATGGGCCTTGAAGGCATTTTTTTTTTTTCTTAGACCTTCTAATTTTGAAAATGACCTGCAGACTCTCATAAGGCTAGATTTGCAAGTCTTCAGTTTTTGCCCACCTGGCTGTACTTTGGACAGCGATGGGATTCATTAGGGGTATGTTTGGTGCCATAGCGCTCCCCATGCTGTCTCCTTATCCATTCTTAAAGAAAGTTACTGCCATAGAGTATTAGAGCAGGTCTGCTTCAGGGAATCCCAGTTCTGTGGTCCGCTGATCTCTTATCCAGCTTATAACTAACTGCAACTACAGCCTTCATCTCTTGGGATGCTGCTGGGCCAAAGGATTCTCCTGTCTGTGCAGGGAGGATTCAGTTATTATGCGTGAGGGTTACATTTTAGAGTTGCAGCTGTGACACATGCCTCCCTCAAACAATATGGACTTAGTTTGGGTGCTCATTTCATTGGAGATGACCATTTGCAAAGCCAGTGATTTCCACAGGTTGGCCACAATCGGTCATTCTCCACAGCAGGCCATTTTCCACTCTCCTGTTTTGATTGCTCAGTATGATTATTTGGTGGCATCTGCGGTTCTAGGAGTACAGAAAATGTTGCTGCTCAACAGGTGACAAAAAGCTATTATGCTTTGATTCTGTTAAAAACATTACCGTTCTCCTGCTTCTCCTAGTTGAAAAATGAGTCACTCTAGTTTGGGCTCTTGAGCTTTGTGAAGAAATATTTTTGACTTAGGAAAAAAGTCATTGCTTACAAAGGATTCACTTTATAACCGCCATACGTGCAGTTCCACTTACAGGGGCTTTCAATTGTTCAGAATCACAGGAACCCAGAAAATAATTAAAAGTTGCAAATGTGGGACTAAATCAAAATAGGAGAATTTTGATTTCTTTTCTGATCAAATTCGATGTTGGGTCCTTCTCAAAATGCAAAACTAAATAAAGTAATCTTGTGAGCATTTTTTATTTTGGTCAGTATATTCTTTGTGTACACACACCCCTTGATTGCAGTATCACTCGTATGGCATGACTTTTTTTCACTTGTTAAATTACTAGCTTTAAAAATTTCTGACATTTTCGTTGAAATAGAATGTATCCCCATGAAGAAAGGATTTACATGTCTAGATTACCTCCCCGTTTGCCTAAATCACTTTTCTTTCCCAATACATAGCTATAGTTTCAGAGGCTAGAACGGTTATAAGAGGTTTTCTAGTTAAACCATAATAAAAATCAACGGGGGAGGGTTCATTTTTTCAAACTGTACTTTTAAAAAACTATCCTCATCGAAGCATGAAACCTCCCCCAATTCTGATAATTTTGCAGCCCCTACCCCCCACCCTATACCATTTACATATCACTGATTCCGTCTCACACTCTCATCTCACAGATAGGAAGACATTCTTCCTATTGCAATTTTGACTAGCCACCTTAATAAACATCAAAATTCTTTTCAATTTTAACATGACAGATTTTTGATAAATAGAGTTGCAGATTTAAAATTCACTTCAGTGAAATGATGGAGCATGAATTACTTAAGCCGTATATTTTTAAAAACAAATTATGAAAAGTCTGATATTGTCAAAGGAAAAAAACACAGTCAGAGTCACTGATCAGGAAGTCAGTATACAGAAAATGTTGCCAATGTGTCACTGTCTCAGTCCTATGTCAGGCACTGGGGAGATTAGTAGATGTCCCTTATCCTGGAAATGCCTGATAGCTAAGCACTCATATTTCTTCTCAGCTGTCCAGCCTTTTCCCACACAGTATGTGAAGCCTTATTGTGTTAGTTTTTAAACAGCTGTCCTGGTTGCATTTTTAGCAGAAGGAGATTCATAAGAATACAGATATTAAATAGATAGATGAAATAGCCACAGAGATAGGTTTTAATAAAACCCATAAACTGCTCAGAAGACCTGACAGGCTCTAATGGATGGATATGTGAAGACCTAGGGAAAGAATGAAATGAATTTCTCAGAGGATTCTTGTTCCCTGGACAACTAAAGGTAGATTCTTGTTCCCTTTCAGACTAAGGGTAGAAGAAGCGAAAGAGGATTTTCGTTGACCCCCCCATTTCCTCTTCTAGACCTTTCCATCTATGCAAATGGAAAGAACAAAGGTCTGTGACTCCACTCACTTGCTCTGTAAAGAAGCCTCTGTCCTGGGTAATAATGTTTACTTGATCTTAAATCTTCCCTCCAGGACTTTGGACAACCTGATCATCCATTTGGGAACCACTGATCTGAGGCAACCACAGATTTAGGAGAAGAGAATGGGGTTGTTACACTTTTGAAATTTTATTTTTTATCATCCATGTTGATAAAGAAGATAGAACTTTTAACATCTTTAGCACTATATACCATTCTATGTGAGCTATGAGGGGGAAAGGGATTCCTACTGATCGTACGGTAATCAAAGGAGGCACACGTTATTTTTTTTTTAAAGGCTAGCAATACATTGCCCACACTTACTGAGAACACTGTCATTTTAAGAGCATAACCATATTTTTTAAAAGTTGCAGTGGTCTCTTGGCTACTATATAGAGAAACTGTGTGAAAATGCCCTGCCCCGAAGTGATTTGAAATCTTTATTGCCTTAAATTGGACAGTATTGCATGAGAGCAATGGAGTATATGGACAGTGAGTAGTTGTAACTGGCCCACACTCAGCCATAATATATTTTTTACTGTCTGTGCTGGATGATGATGTAGGATCTGATTGTTTTTCATTATTTTCGGTTTCAGTCTTTCTTATCTGACTGTGTTTGCTTGCCTACATATATTTCAAGGCTTTAAATGGACTAGACAGTTTGGGGGGGGGGGTCAGTCCTGGAAGTTTCGGAACTTAATCCGAAGTGGTGAGTGTACCTACAAAACAGGATGTTTGTTTGCTGTCTCTTTGAAGTCAGTTCCCTTTGTGGCATTCCTTGTTGTCATGAGCTACGGTTTGGGAGTGGGGGTGAGATTCTTGTCATCAACTGTCTTACTCTGCACACGGCCCCAGAATGGTTGTTCCTGTTTTCCAAACAGAATAGCATAGCCCAGCACATGCTGGGCACATGAAAATCAATATTTTCAATCTCTGTGGCCATGATAATGGCCTCAGATCTAAAATCAAAGCTTTGGAAAGAGAAAACTGATAATGCCCTTCTGAAAACAAGGGGAAAGGAAGAACTGCATTCTCTTGAAAGTTAAAATATAACCTTTTCTTTCTGATTCTATAAAGAAGACTATACTAATTAAACTGCCGATTTCTTTCAGGTGGGTGTACATGGCATTAGAATAGAATTCATCAATGAAAAAGGATCAAAACGCACCGCCACCTACCTACCGGAGGTTGCAAAGGAGCAAGGTCATTGTTGTACTTTATATTTCATACGATCTGGTGAAGAATTTAGACAAATATACAAATTGAAATGCAGTATCTGACCTTGCAGTTATGTCTGATAATTGATCAATGTCAAATTACAAGTAATGACTCTTCTGTTACTGCCACTGCAATGTCTGTATCAAATTGGGTAAATTACTCACACAGAAGTTGCATCCCTGCACTGAAGTTTGACAGCATAAACACATAAATGTATACGTTTAAAAAAGCAAAGATTTGTTGGGTTTTATTTTAGGCAACAATTTGCTACGAGTTTGAAATACCATTTTACAGTATTCAGTTGTGCTGCACATTGTGACATGAACAAGCCTTTTGTGACAGCCTCATAGTTCATTGTCATTGTCAGTATCAAATGTTTATTTCATTCTTCCATGGTTGCCATTACTCATTCTGCTAATATTCAGATTGTAGGTTTCCCATAAGCTTGGGAGCATTGAGAATACATGAAACATTAGTGTTTTATATGCTTAGTCTATACTTCCTAATCAACAAATACGTTCCTGTTTTACAGATACCAATCCTATACCACAAAATAATTTTTTACTCAGTGGTTCTTTTCTAGCTACTACTAAATTTTAGTTTCATGTTAGTAAAAATGAACATATCTTCTATCTTTTCTTTTCTTTCCTTTTTTTTTTTTTGAGACAAAGTCTTAACTCTGTTGCCCAGGCTAGAATACCGTAGCATTAGACTACCTCGCAGCAATGTCAAACTCCTGGGCTCAAGTGAGCCTCCTGCCCTAGCCTCCCGAGTAGGTGGGACTACAGGCGTGCACCACAATGCCCAGCTAGTTTTGCTATTTTTAGTAGACACAGGGTGTTTCTCTTGCTCACACTGGTCTCTAACTCCTGAGCTCAAGGGATCCTCCTTCCTTGGCCTCCCCGTGTGGAGCCACCTCACCAGGCTATCTTATTTTAGAAACCTTTTCTTCTTATCAGAAAGCTTTTGTAAGTTGATTTTCCTATGTTGGTTCATATAAATGTGAGATCCATAGCAGCAAAATTTAATGTTATTAAACCCCCAAACAAAGTCTTTAAGGCCGTTATCCAAAGATTTATTTGGGTTGCTTTAGAGATGTCTTAATCCTACAGTGTCACTGACTTTGTAAAGCACACACAGAAGGTAGAGGGCTTCAGATATTAGTGTAACATCATGTCAGAATGAATAAAAATGCCCTTGAGTATCACACACAAATATACTTGTTTGATTACAGAAGATACCACTAGGAACAGCAATTACCAGAGTAGTGTGGGAGTCCTGAATACTTTTGAGTTGCGACAATGACATTTAGGATTTTCCCTCCTTTTTAAAGATGTCACTGTTAGAGGAGAGTACCATGGTTGTTGTTTGTTACGGAGTCATGACTGAGCACTTTCTGCCAGCCTCTTAGATTCTTTACCTTTGAATGTGGTTGAGATAAACAAGCCAATGTCGTTAGACGCTCTGGATAACTAGAATTTAAGGTGTGTGGTGATGAACCTGCTTTGGTACAGGGTGAAATCTTAGCTCTTCTGTGTGACTGTTTTTAGGACCAAAAGAGTTGATGGCATTTGGAGAGAGTGATAGCTGACCTCTAAAAAGTTATTTTGTATTTTACCAAAGGTGTTTGTTATGTGTGCTTGACTGATATTTTATCTGGTCTACTCTCCACAGGATGGGACCATATTCAGACCATAGACTCCTTATTGAGGAAAGGAGGATACAAAGCTCCGATTACTAATGAATTCAGGAAAACCATAAAACTGACCAGGTACAGAAGGTGTTTTCTAGTGCAAGACTAACCGGTACATTTCAGTGTATATACCTATAACCCTTGGATTTCTTTGATCTATACAACTACAGTGGCTTTTCTTTTCTGAAACAGAGTGGGAATGAATGGCAGGGCTGCACTGAGGGTAGATACAATGAAACTCTGCTTGGCAGTAAAGCCTACATGATGTATGAGCCCATCCTTCCCATCTTTAGCTTCGTATGATTACTTTGGCTTTGAACGAGCAGCCCTCAGAAACTTTAGACTATGTTACTGGAGAAAGGACCTGAATTAGCTATTGGCTAGCTTTTGATCCTGCTTAGCAGATCCCCAGGATTCTGATAAGCAGCCCTCCAATTTGAATTTAACCTTAGAATTCTGGCATAGTACAAGTCTACCATGAAAGCTTACTGAAAAATACAACTGAGCAAAACTCAAATGCTAAATAAATTACAGCATAGAAAAACAGGTACTTATTTAAGAAGGAAAATATCAAATATTTTAGGAAAATGGGTTGCTGTTTCCATTTATTTCAATTCCACACAACCACATCGAACACCTATAGTCTAAAAATGGACTTTTCACAGCTCTGAGGAGTTGCAATTTGAAAATGCTTCCATCTCTGCTCTCCGTGAATTCATAGTTGAGAAGAATAAAAGGGCATGTGCAAAAATTATTAATTTAAGGTAGAATATGGTAGCAGATTTAAGATCATAAAGAAGGGAAAGAGGAGTTCCAGGAGCAGGAGGGAGATACCAGGAGGTTTCAAAGAGGAGGTCAGTTTGGGGCCCAGCTTGAAGAATGGATAGAGTATATGACAGGTAGAGAGTCAGGGAGGAAAAGGATTCCCTCAAAGAAGACCTTGTGAGTCGAGGCAGGGCAAATTGTAAGGAATGCGAAGTAGTCTGATTCGCCTGGTCTTTCAGTGTTCATGGCTCAGGCAGTCAGTAGAGAACAATAATGGCCCCAAAGGTAGGTTGGGGTCAGACCATTGAAGATCTTGAGGCTAAGACGTTTGGACCTAGTTCTGTAGGCAACTGGTAACCATCGAAAGATTTTAAACAGACGATCTTGGGGAGGTCTGACAATGGAATTCAAAAAAAGGAAAATGAGCTAGGAAACATTAGTATTATCTAAGAATCTATGACAACAATCCAAAGAAGTGCAATGGAGGCTTTAACTAGATCTGTTGTAGTGGGATGAGAAGAAAGGTGGGGACAGATAAGAAAATATTATGGAAGAAATGAAAGGATTTAGTCATCATTTAAAAGAAGCAAGGAAGCCAAAACTGTAATCTAGATGAAAGGGACCCAGGTCATCCCTTTAATCAAGGTAGGGAACACAGGAAGAGAACATTAGATTTATGCACTGATGCTGGATTTGAAATGTTTCCTAAGATATCTATATAGAAATGTCTGGTTGGGGAGGGAAACCTGCAGCCTTAGGGCCACATGTGGCCTTCTGGATCCTTGAGTGTGGTCTTTTGACTGAATCCACATTTTATAGAACAAATCCTTTCCACAAAGGATCTGATACTTCAGGATAACTGTAGAAAGGTCATCGTTGAGGCTTTAAAGATAGGATTCACCGAGGGGGACGGTATGGAGTCAGATGAACTGGTGATAGCAATATAGGGAAATCCTGCAAGGCAGGGGTAGGAGGAGCAGTGAAAGAGGTAAGGAGGACAGGGTGTATAGGGGTACAACCCATGGGACCAGAGAACTTCAGAAAGGGAGTGGTGAGTGGTATCACAATGGAAACGTCCAGCTGAGTCAGGGTGGGCTTCTGATGCGCTATTCCTGGGGAAGAGTGGCAGCGGAAACCAAGGAGCAGAAAATATATTTTACTCTTTTTTTCAGTTTTTTCCTCTTTTTAAATTTTATTTAAGAATATTATGGGAGTGCACCCATTTTGGTCACATCATTTGCTTTGCACATTTTAAGTCCAACTCATAGGTGTCCCCTTCACCCACAAAGTGCGTGTTGCACCCGTTAGGTGTGAATTTTATCCATCCCCTCTTCCCTCCTCCCGCCTGCTTAATTTCCAGTGAGTTTTTACTTTCACCTGTGCACACAGGTGTTGATCAACTAGTTCCAATTTAAGTTCGACTATATGTAGTGTTTGTTTTTCCATTTTTTTTTACCCTGAGCATCGTGGCAGTGAAGGAAAGCTAGAGATGGGGAAAAGAGAAGGTACAGGAAACCAGGATTCAGAAAAGTGCTGCTGTTCTTACTTGCTGGCCAGACCATCAAGATGCATGGGCAGAGAAAGGGACCATGAAAGAGGGAGAGATGAAAGATCTCTGCAGAAAAATAGTCAAGCGCACGAGATAGGTGCATAATAATGTAAGGCTGGGTTTCTCCTCTTCCTTCCTGTTTGCAAACTCAGGCTGAGAAGGCAATAACATTTCTTGAACAATTTAAAGAAGGAGTAGTAGAGTGGAAGGAGCCCTGGGCGCAGAGTTTGGATTCCTAGGCTGTGATCTCAGCTTTGCTCCTGACGGGTGCTGTGACCTTGGGCAAGTCACTGCTTCTCTCTGGGCTTGTGTCGCTTGATCTATAAAATTATCTCAATGGTCCCTCCTAGGTCTAACAAGAGCATGTCACTATTTCTCGATGTTAACTTTTTCTTGACTCTCTTTCAGGTACCGTAGTGAAAAGATGACCCTGAGCTATGCTGAATACCTTGCTCATCGCCAGCATCATCATTTCCAAAATGGCATTGGGCATCCCCTTCCACCATACAACCATTATTCCTGACACTGAGCCGCACAACCAGTCACTGGGCCTCTCTGCAGACCTCTTCCCAGGAGACCCTACACCTTCATGGTCTAGCTATCTCTTTTATTGTACCATTTTATGATGATAGTTTCCGTTGCCATGGTGAAGCTTCGACATCGTCAATTAAGATCATCGTGGTAACGGGTAGGAAAATGGCATTTGTTAAGAAGATCCTGTTTTAATTATTTTAGATAATTGATTTTTTTGCAGCATATATAATTTTGGAGTTTTTTTTTTTCTTTACAATATTATTTAGAAATTTGCTTTGCTATCTCAGTCAGATATCTGTCTTTCTGTTCTTGCTTTCCTTCCTGTCCCCCTTTTTCTCTTCCTTCCTTCCTTCCTTCCTTCCTTCCTTCCTTCCTTCCTGGCTTCCTTCTTTTGACTGTGGATGGAAGAAAGTGTGGAGTTTTTAAGGACTTTATTTAGGTTTGTCTTTAGTTTTCCTCAGTAAGATAGTTACTTTTTAAGAGCTGAGTTTGAGAGTAATTCACGTCAAATTCAGGTATTTGATTATTACTCTTGAATTTGCCTGACATTCACTTTGCTATGAGAGCTTATTATTTGGGTCTTTTACTCCTTAACTTTTTGTTTCTCCCATGGTTAAAATATATGAACTTTAGTTCTAGTAGCAAACATTCGAAGGTCCATGATAGGGCTTGTCACAGAGAGTAAGATCATTTATGCCTACTGGACTGGTTCATCATAGATGGAAGAGATTGCCTCTTACCTTTTAGAACCAATTTACAAACTAAAACACTGTTTTAAGAAAGTACAAAGTACCTTTCAAATAGGCTACAGAAGTCATTTTGAAGAGCAGCAAATACTAGCATGAGAGCAGATACAGAATTTAGTGCCTTTGAGAAGAATATAATTAAGTGGAATTAAGAGGGGTTGAAAAAGGCAATTTAGAGAGATATTCTTGTAAAATTTTATTGTTTCTATTTGTGAAGCAACAGATTAGACAAATTGCTTACTCTTAAGTATTTTTTTAAGCTGAAAAATTTATTTTGAGCAAATAACCAAAAAGAGACCTTTGTCTATTTTATATTAATTTAAATTTGTTAGCTTTAGGTTTCAATAAGTCCTGATTGGCCAGAGAAAATTTTAGCTACCATCGAAAGATACGACAAAGATCATCTAGTGAAACAAAAGTTCATATATGCCATGATTTCAGATATGTTTGTCTGTCATGGGATGATACTAGAGATTTAGAGATACTATAAAATAGCTCAAATCTCTTTCTGCACTACATACTTTTGATAGAAACACATTTCCTCTGTTGATAAGATGTTATGTTACAACTGTAAAAATGGAGTTGGTATTCAAATACGCTATAGTGAGAGCACAGCTCATTTGTAGGGTAGTCTTCCCATGATGCATACAAAGAGAACTTACTGATTCCCTGGAAAAATGACAGATGATTGATCCTAGAGAATGAGGACCTTCATGTTATGGTAGTATAAAAAAAAATATATATATATATATATATGTATATATATATAAACACACACACACACACATATATATATATATATACTACACACATACACATGACTGTGTGTGTATATAATTTTTTCAAATAAGAAGCCAATAGATCATGTGGTGAATAAAAGTATGCTGCAGAATATATATTCTAAAACTATAAGAAATGTCACTGACTATAAAAAATTAAATAGTTTACACAGTTGCTGTGACAAGTGACAGACTGCTCGTTCAGAATTCAAAAATTCCCTTTCTAGTTTCTAAGATAAAATTGGCTAAATTCCTACTTGCCACTGGAGCAAAGCAAACTGCTTTAGTTTTCGATGAGAGTTCTTAGAGAAGTTTGTAGGTGTTCCTTCATCCACAGCATCCATTGTTGAAATAACCATTTTCAGTGGTGATGCCTTAACTAAGAAGCCAATTGTTAGCCTGAAATGCAATCTTGGTAGCCAGTTCCACTGAATCTAGAGATTAGTCAGGAAACAGTTAACTGTTGAGCTTTAGAAAGGGATTTCGAGTCCTGTCCTTTATATTTTGGGAGCATTTTGGGGCAGATTAGACTTTCAGTATAAAAACTGAAACTTTTTGATGGAAACTTTTTCTTGCCCTTATAGGGAAGCTGAGCACAAGTTGAATGATATTGTCTGTTGCAAAAAAAAAAAAAAAAAAAAAAAAAGTAAAACAAGCAAACTGAAGAGAGAGAAAATAGACCAATATTGTTGTGAAATCCATGTTATCCATCATCTCATCAGTTCAACAGGCTCCTCATCCTGGATGAGCTTATGGTTAGAAGTTTTTTTTAAAGCAAAGATATATTACAGACATATATGTGTGTATGTAAACATATATTTACACATACATACATACATACATATGTGTGTGTTTATGTATTTAACGGTGCTAATCAATTTTGAGCAGGTCACGTGACTGGTCATGCGGACTCTAAATAATCATATCAGATTTTTTAAAATTCTTGATATATGCAGATGTTATAGATTTTCTTACCAGTGTAATAATGTTATACTGAAGAAATAACCATCCTGCAGGCTTCAAAGGACGAGGTCAGCAATATTTCCCACCATGGCTTGGGGGAAAAGGATAGTTTTGTCTCCTTTTGTATTCAAGTTCAAAGAACAGTGCATTATTGTCTCTAAGTAGCTGTTGACTAAAAGACTTTGTAGTGTAAAGGGTGTTATACAAACTGTAATGGTGTGCTTCAAACAAACAAATGCTAGACCCTTTCACCTTTGTTGTATATTACAAAGCTGTCAAATATGTGGTATGATTAACTTTGAACATGTTGAAATATGTAGCATGTGTCTTTAACTCGGATGAAGATTCTAATTGCACGGGTTGTGTTCTAGCCAGTTGTGGTTTATTTGTTCAGAAACACAAATGTGAATTGCACTCTTATCACCAGAATATTGTATAAGTCAGTGATCTTTAAACAGCTCAAAAGAAATACTTGAACTTCATTTGAGTAGCACAAAAGTTTACATTAGCCCCTTTTAAATGTTAATTAGTTCCATTTTAAGTTTTTCCGTTTTCAAACACAACTGTGTATTTTTCCTCTTGGAAAATAGTACGCATTTTACTTTGGTATGTAGCAAAAGGCTTCCATTTCTGGAAGGGTTTTCTTGTTCTTAAACAAGGTCAGCCAGGTACAAAATTCTAAGAGATCAATTGTCTCCCCACCCCTCAAGTGGCCTTCTGACTGCACGAGAATGTGCTACCCCCTCTGGAGTCTCCCCTCCCATGTGAGGTTCATGAACTGATGGAGGAAGTGCAAGGCTTGCTCTTTCCCGGCACCCCTGCCCCGTTTAAAGTAGTTATAAGATTTTCAGTCCAGTGCACACAGTCCCAATGCCCAGCACACCGGAAGTTTGTATACTGGCCTCTTGTCTTCAAATGTGCAGGAAATTTGAAACTGTCATCTGGAATAGGTTCCATCTCTTATGTGTGTTAGATCAAACCAAAGAAGCCCCCAGCCATGCCCAAATGCTGCTCCAAAAGCCTGCCTTCCAGTCCTTACAAAAACCTTGCAGGATTAAATGTGTTAACTTTTTTATTTTTGTACAGTTTCTAAGTGATTTTTGCTAGTGATGTTAAATTGAATTAAGTTTATTTGAGGGGGGTGAGCACCTCCTCCATTTAAATAAACTGGTGACTTTCCTTTTATTTTTTAAAAGTGGAAACCCATTGTGTGCCTCTCGATTTTAAGGGTTTCTGATTACATTATTCTTAAGACCAGCATTGATCCTTTATATACAAAGATATGTTTTTCCTTGTTTTTTATTACTATTTCAGAAGAAGATGAACCTTTTATTTTGCTCTGGACCCAGTAAGTACGCTGGTACATAGACGCACTGAGAAAATAAACTTTTGTAACCACCTCTGACTGCTTTTGTATATCAAAGTTGATTACTTTTGAAATATTTGGATCTAGTTTCTAAGTTATTTTAGTGTTTTATATGTTCCCTGAAATTACTTTGAATCGGTCACCAGCATACTGAGTTTTTGGTGATACAATGGTGAGACTTGTAATGAGCAAAAAGCTACCTGGAGTAGCTCTTTTTTTCCTCCTTTCTTAGTAACCCGTTTTTGATTACAGTAAGACATCACAGATTACCTGAAACCCCTTCCAGTATAAGTAGGCCCTCCTTCCTTCCACGTTTAATTGCTTAATAGTTTGAAGAAACTATTGGAAATGGGCATTTTATACGATATGTATGGCTTTAAAATATTAAAAATGAGTAAAAAGGAAAAAAAACACGAGAAGGTTTATGTGGGTCTGTAAGGTATGGCTGTGGAAAGATGTTGTAGTAGTTTTGACACTATCGTTATTACCTTTCAAATCATTTACCCAATAAAACGTTAAAACCAAGTTATCGTGTGTCGTTTCTCTTTTACATTTAACCTGCCTCCTCATAGGATCTTGGGATCATAAGTAATATTTTACTAAAAGGTTAATACTTGAAGACTCTGAAATAATATAGTTAGGATCAGCTACTGACTTATTTCCAAACTAGCACTTGGGGAAACCTCACCTGTCTGCAGCTGTTCCCTGCCATATGATTTGACGATGTCACCCTTTTGTCTAGCTCTGAATCCTGGCTTGGTGATATAGATTAGCCTTTATTTGGACACTCTAACCTGGCCACAGATCTGAGGCAAGCATCAGGACTCGAATTCCAGGGGGAGCTTAGCTGTGCTTAAGCCCGCTTCGGATATCTTCCAACCAGTCAGTGGTTATCAGGCATTTCCCTTTTGTGAGCTAGCGGGTGGTTGTAGCAATGCTATCCAATGAAACCATCTTATGAGGTGGGAACCCGTTCTTCTGCCAGCAAGGCTGGGCCATTTTCTCAGTATAGGACAGAAAATGCCCAAGATGTGGCTACCCAGAGCTTGTACACACTCATGCACACACTAGGCATACCACTCTTAGACTTATTACCAGTTATTTTTTAGTTCCAGATTGGTACCCCAACTTGAGCTTAGGGAATCTACTTGAATACAGAGGACAGGTGGTGATATTGACTTTCAAGGGTCAGGTAAGAGCCTACGTCAAGAGAGGAATCTCTTGAGCCAGGTGCAATGGTTCATGCTGGTAATCCTAGCATTCTGGGAGGCTGAGGCAGGAGGATCACTTGAGCCCAGGAGTGTGGGGTTGCTGTAAGCTATGATGATACCACTGCACTCCAGCCTGTGCAACAGAGCAAAACCCTGTCTCAAACAAACAAAAAAACACCAGAATTTCTTGGGGTGCTAAGCTGTTGCCTTCTCTCTTTCTCATGGAAAAAGCTACCAAGGACAATGTTGAAATGCCTCCGGCTCTTCCCTAATCATTTGCTATCTCACTTTAATAACGCACATTTTAGGATTCATTGCCAGTTGAATATATCCAAGAAAATTTTCTGTTACACTGCCCCAAAGCCCTGGTACCATGTGAATTTTATGACATGTGCTTATGTCAATCACAGCTGCTAAAAACAGCCATCCCAGATCCTAGAGGACCGCTGTGGTTTTGAATAGTGCTCCATAAAGGAAGCCATCTGCTCAGGGTTTACCCATTTTCATCATTTGTGTTTAATGGGACATAAGATTTTTTAATGATTTAGACAATATTAATAGGTTCAGGTGGAATGAAGTAATTTAATGAGCCCACAGCATTCTTTTTAATAGCATTAGTGGTGAACTCAATGGTCTGGACAGATTTCAACTTCAGTAATCACACTCCACCTACCTAAATTTTTCCCAGAGTTTCAACACTTCCCCTTTAGATTTCATGCCCCACTGGACATTGTGTAAGTAGCTTTACTGCTTCCGAGGACAAGCACACTTGTGTGGGATGAGGCAGTTCCTCTCTTTGATGGGACATGCCATCATATCCGAGGCATCCTATTAGTGTGAACTAGGAGGAAGTCTGCTGTGGGGAAATTACACCTGGATTCAGAGCTGCCAGGCACACTGTCCAGGAGTGCCCACTCAGAGAAGGGCTTCTCACACTCCCTGCAACTCTGACCCCGGGAGCTGAGACAAGTGTGGGTTCGGGTTCGGGTTCATTAATCTCTGATAGCTTCCCCTCTGTTTGCCCAGGCTTTTCGCCTTCAGGAGAAAGAACTGAATGGCAGGATGCAACTGAGGCAAGCCCTAGGGTATGTTGCTTTTAGCTCCTACGATAATAGGCCTTCCTTGACATGTGTAGCCCTATGGGACAGTCTTGCTTTCTAAACCTCAAACCTGTTGGAAGAAGTCGTTCAAGAATCAGAAGAAATCGCAAAAGTTTCCAAGCACCGTTCTGAAGTCAGCCTACCTGTTCATCCTATGCACTTAGTTACAACCGTGTTTAAAAATGACCCCTTAACAAAGAAAATGTGGTATATATGCACAGTGGAATACTATTTAGGCATAAAAAAGAATGGCGTCTTGTCATTCACTGCAACACGGATGAGCCTGGAGGCTATTAAGTGAATTAAGCCAAATATAGAAGGGGAAATACCACATATTTTCATTCATATG